TCAAAGGATTTACTCAAGATTATAGACTTGACAATGCTGAGACTTTTGCTTTAATTGCTACGATGACCATGATTTGCACACAGTCATAGCTGTGGTAGCTATTCGTGAGTGAAGCTTCTCTCAGATGGATGTGAAAAATGTTTTTCTTCATGGTGATTTATCTAAAAATGTCTATATGACTCCTCCTCTTGGGTTGTCTCATGGTCCTAGTCAAGTCAGCAAACTTCACAAGGTTTTATATGACCTTAAACAAGCCCTAAGGGCATGATTTGCTAAATTTTCTTCAGTCATATATAACTTAGGCTTCTATGTTAGTGACCATGATTCTACTCTCTTTCTATGATCCACGTCTTCAAGTTTCATTCTTTTATTATTTTATGTGGATGATATGATTATTACTAGTGATGACAATGTTGGAATTCAGTTGCTGGAAACTCAATTCCAGGACTATTTTGGGATGAAAGATTTGGGTCCATTTCGATATTTCTTAGAGATTGAAGTTGTCTTCTCTCCCAAGGGTTATTTTCTTTCTCAGTCAAAGTATGTCTAAGATGTTATTCTGCGAGCTTCCTTATCGAATAATCAAACAGTTGACACACCATTAAAGCTCAACGTTCGTTATATTTCCTCTAATAGTTTTCTTCTACCTGATCCTACCTTATATTGTACTATTGTTGGAAGTTTGGATCTTGTTATTACTCATCCAGATATCGTTTATGCTGTTCATGTGGTTAGTCAGTTTGTTGCTGATCCTACCACTCTTCACTAGTCTACCGTTCTACAGATTCTTTGGTATCTGCAAGATAAGTTGCATCAGAGTTTATTATTTCGTCCTCTTTATCTCTGGAACTCCAAGCTTACTCTGATACAGACTGAGCTAGTGACTCTATGGATCGCAAGTCTACCATTAATTTTTGTCTCTTTTTTGGTACAGAAGTAGTTTGGTTGCATTGGCTACTAGCTTATCTTGACATTTCCTTGTCTACTCCTACTCCTATGTATTGTGATAATACTAGTACTATCCAGATTGCTCACAACTCTGTGTTTCATGAGCACACCATGCATATTGAGATTGATTGTCATTTTGTACGCCATCATCTTTAGCTAGGCACGATCTCTCTCCCCTTCCTTCCTTCTACTATGTAGTTGACAGATTTTTTCACAAAATCTCTCACTATCATGCGCTTTTATTTTTCTTCTTGACAAACTCTTGATGTTTGATGCTACCACATCATGAGTTTGAGGTGTGCTGTAGGAATAATCTAGTATAATAGCAATAGGGATAGATTAGTCATCTATGTTACTATGTTTTGCCCTAATATATCACTTTTATTGTGTAGTTTTCTTGTTTAACGGTTCTGTAATACAAACTTAGTTCTTCTTAATGAATATTTTTTTCACTTCTTTCCTCTTTCTTTGATAAATATTAACAACAGTGACATCCTCACCATCCACTTTCAATCCCTCTGTCAATCCTATTTCTTCTGCTCTAATAATCATCTTGCTCAAGAGATCAACTACCAATATAAACATAAAGGTGATAAAGGATCTCCTTGCCTCAAATCCCTAAACGCATCGAACCATTCCCTAACCTCCCCATTCACCAGTACTGAAAAGGTCGAAGAAAAAAAACTACTTATCTATTTTCTTCACTTTTCTCCAAAAACCTTGTTTTTTAACATGGCATTCACAAAATTTCAATTTACCCGATAATATGGCTTTTCAAAATCCAACTTAAACACAACTCCTTTCTTTCTCTTTCTCATAATATCCTCCACCACCTCATTTGCCACTAAAATTGCATCTACTATTTGTCTTCCTTAAGCAAAAGCACTTTGGGCCATGGTCACTGTGTCTCCCAAAACTTCACAAAGCCTTGTAGACAACACTATAGCTATAATTTTATACAAACTAATGGAAAGTAAACTGAATAACAAATAGCGCAGACAATAGGGACATATTAGGACTCAAGTGAGTAGTCCCCAGACCTGAAACTTTAGAACAAGTATTATTACCAAGAGTAACACTACGTGTGAAAGTAGCAGGCTGATAAGTAGAAAAACATCAGACGCACCAATCATGTGGTCAGAAGCGCCAGAGTCTATGATCTAGGGACTGCGAGTGGAGGAGTAAACTAGTAGAAGCAATACCTAACTGGGCAAAAATAGTAGTGGAGGGAGATGGGATAGCCTGTTGATGGGACAGGAACTGAGCATACTCCTCTCGTGTAATAGTAACCGACCCAGTGTCTAGTGGAGCTGACCGAGGTATGGAAGTAACAACAGAGGTATTATCTTGCTAGGAAACCTGATTCGCAACACCAAAGGGTTTTTCATATAAATCCCAACATAAATCAATAATGTGTTGTTTACGGCCACAGTGAGTACAAGAACGAGATCTACTACGGCCTCCACGACCACCCGTGCAACCCTCCTGTACGACCTCCACAACCCTCCAAGTTGTTGGAGGACTGAACTGGAAGAAAGGAAGCAGCTGGAGTATTGAACCGGGCTAGAAAACTAGGCTAGACCATTGAACCGGACCCCCTGCTACTTGCTGGAGTACTGAACCGAGTTGGAAAACTGGGCTAGACCACTGAACCAGACCCCTGCTACTTGCTGGAATACTGAACCGGGTTGGAAAACCGGGCTGAACCACTAAACCGGACCAGCAAGGCTCTCTGGACCGTTGAACCGGATCGACTAGATTTGCTGGAAGACAGAACCCGGCTAGAAAATCTAGCTGGCCCGCTGAACCAGACCAGCTAGGCTCTCTGGACTACTGAACCAGCCTGAACCGTGATCCAGTCTAAGCTGAACCATGGACTGGACCGGGATTGGACTTAAAAAAAAAAATTGAAATCCTGGGCTTAACCCGATCTAATCCAAACCCAACTCCACTGGTTGGATCTCTTCTTCTTCGCTAATTAGGGTTCCAAGAGGACCCTCTGGTCTTTGACAACACCACACACCACAAACCGAAGACAACAGCAACACCACCACACACCACACACCACAGCCACCACACACCACACCACTACCATGAAGAATGCTGCTCGAAGGTGAACAAAAGCCATACCACCACCACCACAAGCGATCACGCCACCACACCTAACACCACCACCACGAACAACCGCACCAATGTTAATATATTTAGGATCGTTTATACTCTGATACCATGTTAAGTTTAGAAGATTAACATAATATTAGAGACAATATTTAAAGAGAAACAGAGAGTGGTTAAAAACTTAACCTAACTCTCATACATCACTTGTATTTATAGTTAACTCACAATAATAAGAATTACACAGACACCCTCTTACTATTAACAATTTACACATACTTCCCTAATATTCTTAACAATTTATATGAAAACTAGGGACTAGTTGTGCAATCTAACACGCTACTCCCTATGTAATATTTTTCTTCCTTCGCTCTTTTCTTCTCTTCCAAACCTTTCACTCATCCTACGTTCCTTAAACTTCATAATCTAACTCATGGTTTTAGTGCATTTGAGGTGAGACAGATTTCCAAAGGGCACTAACCATAAGCTTTAGTCAAAAAAGTTTGGACATGCAAAGTGTTGAAGAAAATCAGTTCCACAGCATACATGTAATTAAACTTGCAAATTAGCCCTATCTTTATGACTTGTATGTGTTTGAAGGATTTGATTAAGATGCAGTTTCAACAGAAACTCGGTTAAACAACTTCCAAAGGTGTAGCCAGATGGTGTTGAAGATGTATTTGACGTCAAAGAGGTAAAATCAAGGGGAGGCTACCAACATACGCGATTCTTGGTGAAGTGGTTGGGCAAACTAGCTAGTGAAAGTACATGGATTATCGAGGAGGAATTGAAAAGGATAGCTCCAGAGATTTATAATGAAGTTGTTCATACTTTCTCTAGCGAGAAAGTTTCTTCCAACCCGAAGGGGTTGATGTAAGAGCATCCAGCAGGCTTATCAAGACCAAACAGCCCCACTAATAAGCTTAGCTTGAGTTTTCGTTAGCAAATGTTTTGGTTATATTTTTATTTTCTCCAGTATTTTAAGTTTTATGTGAGTCTTATAGATAGTATTTATGGTCCTTGTCTTTTAAAATAGTCTTGTGATGTCTTGTGACTTTTTAAGAATGTTGGAAGGCTAGGATTAAAGAATTATTGAAATGACTAAGGGGGATGTCAGAGTTGTTATAACCCTAGTATAAATACATCTTTATGAGTCTTTGTAGGTAGCTTTTCGTACTGCTATTCCAAAAAATCAAAATTTCATTCTTTCTTGTGTCTCTTTGCCCTAGAAATTCATATGTTGTTCCGTCTTTGATTCTATTGTTGTTTCTTCTTGTCTTATTCCTAGAAATTCATTAAAAGCTGATGATTCTTTGCTCTGAACAACTTATAGCAGATATGAGTATTTTGCTGCATCAACTTTGCAAGTTGCAACTGTTGCTTGCAAGAATCAAATTTTGTTTCAGTGCATTGTTTCGATCACCTAAAAAACGGAAACGATTCGAAATATTTCAAAAACGTTTCAAAATATTTCAACCTGTTTCGAAAACAGAATAAATAAAAAATAAAAAATTTAAGAATTCTTTTTTCAAAAACATTGGTTTAAATAAACCAAAATGTCTTGAAATACCTTAAAATATTCTGAAATAATTGTACAAATGTAATGAAATATAACAAAATATTTTGAAACATTATGAAACACCTCGAAGTATTAGAATTTCGATTTCATCACTGATTCATTTCAGTCTCCTTGAAAACAGAAACGTTTCAAATATTTCGACCGTTTCGAAACGATATATTAATCCTTGGTTGCTTGGCAAGTGATAGAAGGTACTACTCAATCTAATAGTCGGTGACAAGTGACAAGATGTGGATTCCATTAATTTCATTGGGATTCTAAAAGGGGGAGTTACATAAACAAATAGTAAGGATGAATCATTGACCGGTGAAATGCATAAGAAACGAAGGTAAAATTGTTGTCCATCATGTAAAGCAAATTATACCTGTAGTTGGCGACCAAAATGATCTTCCAACATTGTGCATGCATTCTCTGTCTTCCCCATGTGTAACGGGAGAGAAAGAGACGCCCACACAGTAACATAAATAGAATCCACCGATGATTCTTCGATATCCACCCTCATAAGCCCACCAATATGAACTGAATGACCTACCTGCCAGCACCAAATGATAAAAAATTACACTTGAATTATATGAAGCGAAATTCGAGCTTGTATAGGATATCTCCCAAAGAAATCTAAAGATCTTAGTGAAAGTTTTATTGGGTGCAAAAGAGCAAACAATACGTTTTCTCAAGTCAATAAAATAAATTACAAAAATACATATAACCCAAGAAAATTAGAAAAATCCTAGACTACCCAAAAGACAAATATATCTTTATTATAAAAACTTATATAAACTCTCACACCGCCAACCACAAACTCCTGATGCAAGCCCGGAGACCATCGTGAGTTTGTCAAATAAGAATCAAAAACGAAATGAAATGTGAGACTTGGTAAAAAAATCCGCAAGCTATAGCGAAGAAGACACAAACGAGTAATAGTGGTCAAATGAAGATGTTAACGAATAAAATGATAATCAATTTCAATATGCTTTATGCACTCATGAAATACTAAACTATGAGTAATCTGGATAGTAATTTTAGTGTCACAATAAAAAGGAGTTGGAGAGGAGAGACCAACATCCATAATAGCTAAAAGCCAATGAAGCCAAACTCTCTCCGCACTGGTGTGTGCTATAGCACGATAATCAAGTTCAGCGGTAAAACAAGCAATAACTGATTGTTTCTTACTTTTCCACGAGATAAGAGAATCACCCAAAAAAACACAAAAACTAGTGGTAGACTTGCAATCAACAATATCCCTAGCCCAATCAACATCAGCATGTAAAGCAAAAGGTGGACGACAATAATAAGCTCTGAAATATGGTGCTGCATACATACCATAAAATTTTTAAGTTTTCACATCCAAACTTCACCAGAGTAGACAATTGCGCTAATAAGATTCCTGGTTCTTAGGACGTCCAATTTTTACACTAGTTCATAATGATAATCAACTTAGAATAAATAGTAGCAGTATAATGGTGTATTCTCATATGTGACAAAATGGCAAAAGAAACCATGTTTCTAATCAAAATCTAGAATAGCCATGAACACATAAATTACAACAAAATGCCATTCAACCCGCACATTGGAAAATGTAACCTCATCCCCCCGCACACGTTTCTTCCGGTAATAATCTTTGTTTCTTATAAAAAAAGGAAAAAGAAACTGTAACCCGTGGGCAGAAAAAGTCTTTGCATTATTTACTCCACCAGGCAAAGGCCATTTGGAAGACAAGATTTATGATTCCCACAACCACCAATCAAAAATTCAAAATCTAATTAAAAAGTGAACAGAATAGAGAAGAAAAGGCACTGCTCCAAAGCCTTACACGTGTTAAAGAAGCCAATAAAGATCTATCGACTCCTTCTCCGGCTCCTACCCCTACTTACACGTTAAAATGACTAAAAAAATATGATAATCCTCTTGCCAGTGAACAACCGTCAACAAATTATTTCCCTAATGTCTTTTATGCAGAAAATGGAGATAATACAACACCTTTGTTTGCAGGTGATCAACTATAGTTTCACTGTTAAGCAGAGCGAAAACCTGAGATGATTTTATTCTCTTTGACTGTTCCTGAATTTTTAGTAAGAGCTAGCTTTGTGTTAGGTGTTCTGAGTGGTTTTGGTCTATTGCAGGCACAAGAAGGTCATGCAGAGTACCTTCACAGTATAATATGACAAAGTAGGTGCAAGAGAAATAGAAGAATTTTACTGTGGTGTATCATGCAATTTAATTTAGCAACCAAAGAATACAGCAACAAAGCACTAATTCATTTGGACTTTGGAGTTATTCTTCTGTTGAAATATATAAACAATTATGTTACCCTGTCAAATAGCTTAAGTTTTTAAAGTAATTGGTGTTTAACATCTACGAAGGAAAAAGCACATGTAACTCGGGTCAATGCTTTGGGGCCTAGGAATAGTGGTATAAAAATATGAAACTCTAAACAAACAAACAACAGCGGAAGTAAACAGTAATAGCACATCCACAACATTCTTCAGCAATGAACCAAGAAATGTATAATTCCCTTGCGGAAATTAACTTTTACCAAAACAGTTCATTTCCAAAAAAGTTCATGAAAATCGTTATAGTATAAGTATTAAAGCAATCATTAAATAGAATCACTAACCTTGATCCTATATGTCCTCGCTTTCAACTCATGGCCTATGTGAACTAATTTCTGCTCCTCTCTAACCAACCTAGTTGAAATCTGATGTGGATGCAAAAGCCCCGGTGTATCAAACAACTTTGCATTACCCGGAAGAACCCCCTCCACCCTCACAATTCCCAACGTTGTCCCAGGAACCGGTGCCTCAGTCAAATGAGTAACCTTCCCCCCAACAGACTTCCCTATTGCATTTATTAAAGTACTCTTCCCTGCATTCTGCACCCCAACCACCCATACATGACCTCTCGGCCCTGCCAATCCCACCACATCATCAACCAAATTCTTCAGACCCCAATCTCTCACTGCACTCACCAAATGCACACTAGTCAATTTACTTGCCCCACCCTCCCTCGCCCTCGTTCTAACCCAATGTTCCAACCTAGTAGGTGACAATGAGCTTGGTAGTAAGTCAATCTTTGTTACAACCAACACTATTCTTGGGACATTACCCGATTTTCCCTCCTTCCACCCTCGCAAATTGTCATCAATTGTCTTAGAAACCAACCTGGCAACCACCCTTGGGAAAGACCCATCAAAGTCTGAAGCATCAACAACCATCAAAACCACCGTCCTCGCCCGGGTTATTGAATTCAACCTCCTTCCAACTGTATAATCAAAATCAAATGCCGGCAACAAATTCTCCACTGTTGGATCTTTTACCTTCCCATGATGTCGGAGTGAATAGCATCTAGCACAAACAATAAGTTTTTCAGACAACCTTGGATTTGGGTTTTCAAGATTGTCACCGTTTTCTGGCTCAATGAGCTCATTAAGTAAGCCTTTCTTAAACGAATCTGAGATTTCAGATTCGTCCAAAACCGGGTTTTTGTTAATGGTGGATTTGTAATTCGGGTTTTTGGGTGAGGGTTTGATGAAGAAGCCAGGCTGTTTGGGGTCAGAATCTTGCATAGGTACACCACAGCCAGGGCAAATGAGGAGGATAGTTTCATCGTAATTTCCATCTCTTGTTATCTGTGAAGGTAAAGACGAGGTTTTGGGTGGTTGTGAAGAGAAAGGTCTGAAAATGAATGGCGATGGTGGTGGAAGGGCTTTGGTAGCGTTTTGGAAATAGGGTTTTGCCGTTTGGA